CACGACCATTTGGGAGTGAAATATTTCTATTTTGATGGCTCCAATGCCAAGCTGCAACAGCAAAGCAGCAAATTTTCTTGCTTTAAGGTCACCTGTGATTCTCATGTTTGTTTTTAGACTGAGTCTTTGAACATGGCTCCATTCTGTCTAATATCTTTGAGTGTTATGTCAGGGCCTCAAATGCTTTAATGTGTGCCATGGTACATTAATCCTAGACAATGAAGCTTGTTTCCTCCAGTAGCTTAGTTAAGTTGGTTCCTCTTTTGATGTTGCAAATAGGGATTTCATTGTAGTTCAGATCCAATGGAAGTTTGAAGGTGCTGTGTGCTGTACACCCTCCAGGCAAGAGAGTAGCAGCAATTCCAGATGATGCGACTGCTAGAGTTACTTTTCTTTAGCATCTCATTGCATATAAAAGAAGTTACAAAAGTTTTACTACTACCTCCAGATGTATCCAAGAAGAAAATCCCTCCATTGTTGATGCTGATGTCATCAAAGACCTGATATGCTTGCTGTTGGTCTTCGTTCAACAGGGGCTCATTGTTTTGGACAAATTGCTGCATTTCTTCCATGTTGTATTCTATTTCTCTCAAAATTTCTCTATTGATTTGTCCAGTTTCTCTGTTTGATCAAAATTGCTGAGATCTCTTTGAGCCAAGTTCATCACAGAGGGCTAAATTTGCAATCTTGAGGATTCAATTCCAATCCTGGATAAGCCAATCTCATTTGAAGAAGACTAGATATTTAAAAGTTAGAGAGTTGTGTCCCTTTAATTGAAAAAGTGTGACACACAGACATCTTTGCATTTATTATATAGATATAGTAAGTGGATTTTCTAACCATTTTGGGGAAGCTTTGTGTGAAAAAGAATGAAGACTATAAAAAAGAAAATATGTCCAGTATGATGCCCAGTACTGCAATATTTGACTGTGGTAAACCTACTAGTATTGCTCAGAATCTGGGGTCGCATTATGCATGAGCTATATGAAAAGAATTAGGTTTTTCACAAAAATTCAGAGGTTGCACTATACATGAAGTAGGCTTATACATGAGTATATATGGTACAGTGTGAAATACAGAAGTATATTAACTTGTTTTAAAAGGAATAAAATTGGGGTGTGTGTGTGTGATTTTATACAATCAAGTGATACTTGAGCAGCATAACAATGTTAAGTCATGTATGTATTCTCAGACTCTTGACTGACCTATTTCCACCTATTAAGCATGCTAGGTTATAATTTGTCAACATTTGTTTAGCGTAGTTGTAACAGCAACTGAAAAAATATTTCTAAGAGGTGCTTGACGCTTTTAAAATTTGAAATACGAATCGAGATGAAACCAAATCCTGAAGTCAAAATGCTATGGATCATTGTAAACTTACAAATAAAGATTTGCACCCTTTTACAAATTATTTTATTTCAATAAGATTTTTTTCTAACATATTTAGAAAAAATCAGAATCAAATATTAACCAAAATGATAAAGTTCAATTTTGGACTTTCAAACTCTTATGGTTAATAAAACTTGCAAATGACTCTCTACATGTTTCTTTTCTAGTTTTTCATGATTATCAGCAAGGATTAAACTTTTTCCTTTTCTCGGTGTTATTCTTTCATTAATATTTTTGACTTTGGTATTGCATTTTGTTTTCCATTTGGTTGAAAGGTATTTATAATGTTTCTTATAAGTCATTTAAGATTTGGCTTTATGACCATTTGAGATGTATATTTATCACTTTAAACATTATTTTTTGTGGATGATCCCCTTATTTGAGTAGATGCTGTGTTTATTTTTTAAACAGTATATGAATTTATTTTCATTTGCTGGCCTGAATATTCAAGAAATTGAGAAAAAGACATTGGTTAACAAAATCTTATTAGAGAAAAGGAGGCTGGTAGATGAAAATAAATATACCAGAGCATTTACTCAAATATGGGTATCCACTAAAAATAACATTTAAAGTGATAAAAAAAAACATTGGGTTAACAGAAAAAAAATCCATTACTTTTTCACAATTTCCTTTGTAGCTCTTAATAAATTTTGTCTTTGTTATCTCTCTTAAACTGTCTTGTGCCAAGCTAAGTAGGTTATGGATTGTTTTCTTGTCTCACTTGCCTTCAGTCTGTCCTGTGAGTATCAAATTTTCCAATCCCTCTTTCCTCATTATGTGCCTTAGAAATTTCAACTCTCTCTTTCTGATGTTAAGCATAGGGGTTCCTTTTTGTTACCATTGTCTCTAGAACTTCATTGTTGCTCACATGTTTGGTCCATGGTATTTTCAGCATTCTTTTGTAGGACCACATTCCTGTTGCTAAAAGGCTTTGAGATTGTCCAGCATTCACTGCCATATAGGAGGACTGATATTATTTCACAGATCAGCACTCTTTTCCTTGTTTTTAATGAAATTTGCCTGTTTCTTAATACTTGGCTTTAGCTTTTGGAAGGCAACTTTCGCTACCCCAATGAGCCTTTGGATTTCAGTGTTGTACTTTTTGTCCTCTGTTAAAACACTTCCCAGATATTTGAATTGTTGTACTTGCTTGATCTTGGTATCTGCAATTTGTAATTTGGGCTCTCTCTTTTGCTAAAAAACATGCATTCTATTTTCTTGCAATTGATGTTTGGTCCTTTCTTTTTGCTTTTCTACACTATCTTCTGCAGGAGTTTTTGTAATTTCCTTTTTCTGTCTGTTATTAAGACTGTGTCATCTGCATATCTTATGTTGTTAAGATCATGGCCACCAATAATGAATCCTGATAGGACTTCTAATTTTCTCAGAATCATCTCACTGTATAGATTGAATATGTCCAATAAGAAAACACATCCTTGTCTTATACACCTTTCTATTTTTGTATATTTTCTGAACTCATTTTTTATTCATATGCAGGCAATTTGCTGCCAGTATAGATTTTGGATTATTCTAATATCCTTCCCAAGTAGATCAAGGTTACCTAGTAGTTCTAATAGTTATATTACATATTTTATCTAACGTTTTTGCATAATCTATAAAACATAGGTATACATCCTTTTGCATTTTTATTGATCTTTCTGATATCATTTTGAGCATAAATATTGCATTACTTATTCCAGTGTCTTTGACAAACTTGCACTGTTCTTGTCCTATTTCTATTCTAAATCTGCTGCATGCTCTATTCATCAGAATTCAGACGATCAGTTTTGTTATATGGCTCGTTAGGTTGATTGTCTGCTGGAGTTCACATTTGTTTGCCCCTAGCTTCTTAGGCAGTGCTATGAAAATGGATTTACTTAGGTCATCTGGTATATCACCACTATTGTATATTTCATTTATTATGTCTGTAATATTGTCATTGTCAAAATCCCCTGAGAATGCCAATATCTCTATTACAATTCCATCTGGTCCCGTTGCTTTGTTTCTGTTTAACTTGGACAGTGCTGATTTCACTTCAAATTTTGATATTTCTGGTCCTTCAGTATTTCTGTGTATTGCTGGATGTTCTTTTTCATCATGGAAGATCTCTCCAATACACTCATTCCATCTTTGAAGTATTTTTCTTTCTCTTGTATCCGTGTCCTGGATTTTATGCAGACTGTTGACGAGTGTCGTTTTTTTCCTGTTAGATCTTTTAATTTTTTTTTTTATCAATATCTGCTTTATTGATGAGTCATTCTTTCCATTTCTGCACATTTTTCATTGAGACATTCCACTTTACTCCATCAATATTTGTTCCTAATTTCTTTATGCAGTATACAACATTCTGTGCCATACTTTGGCATTGATTTTGTCTCCTTTTGTCATGTTGAGAATTTCATCAATTCCTTTTTTTTTTTTTGTCTAGTTAAATGTCTGTTAATATGCTCCAATTCAAGTTTCAATTCTCATTTTGTCCATTGTATCTGCTTTTAAAACTGTCCATATATTTCTTCTTCATATTCAAGTCAATCGGGAGTTTTTCATCTGTACTGTCTACTAAAGCATTTGTAAAACTAATTTTCATTTACTTTTGATTGTATCTTTGGTATTTTGATTGTAGATTTTTTGCTTAATTTGACTTAGAAATGTTGCTGTTTAAGTAATATGTCTTGTACTATTTAGAAATGTCATCTCTTATATATAGTGACTGAATTATAATTGAAATATACTGTAAGTATTTATATTCCAATTGCTTCCTCATCTTAATTGTCTTTTGGGTGTTTCATTTTTCCTTTCTGTCAACAATGTCTAGCCTTTTCAAGCTTATAAAAATAAAATTACTCTTAAGTCTATGTAATTTTTTTTACTACCCATTAAAGACATCAGCATTAAAATTACCTAAATTTTTACCCTGGGGATAATTAAAAGAAAAAGTGTTAAATTTTATGAGAATAATCGACCCAGAACCCTGGCCACTTTTGTATATAATTGACACTTATGATAAATTTCAATATTTTAAAACTGCTTGTATAACAGGACAAATCACCAGTTAATGGACTGTGTAAAGTTTCTCAGACAAGGAGTTTTGTTCTGCTTACAATGTTAGATTGAGTAATTCTAACTGGCAATTAAAGACCAGAGTATTTTATTCATAAAATAGTATTATGGGCTTAACAAATTAAGCACAAAAATTTCTGAATACTATCATCCATGGATTTTAAAGAAAGCACTGGCCCTAAGGAGGCAGCTGTTTAGTTTTATGTTTTTTTTTTTTTTTTTTGGGGGGGGGGTTTTTTTTTTTTTTTTTTTTCCCAATGACGAAGCATACAGGCAGAACATAATGCATTATATCAAAATATTACTCATCCATTCTTTTATTAATGTACAGAAAATAAAGTGTGAAAACACAACATAAAGTTATAACAATGTTAAAACCATAGGTGGTCATGTTTTTTGCTGCCATAAAAAAAAAATTCTAAGGCAGGGAAACAATTCTAGAGAAAATGCAGTGTACCAAAGGATTTAAAATATTTTTAATTTTGATAAATTATTTTGAAAAAATTCTCATGAATCTTGTCATTTTTGTTATTTTTTTATTTTTTTTTCAGTTCGTGTCTCTGCATTGGACAATTTACATGTCAGCCGGTTGGCTTTGGGTATGTCCCACAGTTTAGTCTTGCACCGTGGGGGTGAGATTTACAGCTGGGGGGACAACAGCCGTGGGCAGCTTGGGAGGGCTGCAGTTGATGATGATGAATGGTGGCGGATTCCCAAGTGAGTGCCCTTGCATTTCCTCCTGTGCAGACTTCCTTCACGTGCCTAACCTTCTTTATTTGCTTTGTTCATTTGTTTTCCCTTGTTACTTTTTTAATACTCGCATACACGCACAATATGTATGTTAATTTGTCTTGTATGATATTAGAGATGTGATAGAAGACTGCACATATGTGTCTAGACAATTTGAAAACAAAGGATGAAAAGAACTTTGAAAAAGCTTTGTAGGAAATCAATATTTGATTTATAAAAACAGTAGTTTGTGTTCAGAGGATGTTTTGAATTCATATTAAAATTCACCACGCCGTTTTTGTTTTGTTAATTAAATATCTGTATAGAGGCACTGTGGAGTATGGATAGCAGCTCGGATTGAGGAATCCTTTCTGGCTTTAAATAACCTGCAAAAGGTTAAGCTGTAAAAAAAAAAAAAAAAAAAATTTCCCCCCTCAGTTATTCTTCTTTTATGCATGTGAACTCTTCTTCACTGTAATCATAAAAATAATTTCAGAAGTAATTTTTAAGGTCTAACAATAATATAGAAGTGTTTTTTTTTTTGTTTTTTTTTTCAAAGCTATTTTTCCTTTATATCCTTTTATGTAATTATAATAAGTATTCAAAATTTTTTTGTTTTAATATTTTAGAAAAAGAATATATAAAAATTGCTTACATACGCTCTTTCAGATATTGAGCATTTTTACCCACAAATATAGCATCCCTTAAAACTATTTTATATATATATATATATATATACACACACACACACAATAGGTATGTTAATAAGGCTTTAGCTTAATGTTGAAGAAAAATTTATTTCACTAAAATTTATTTTTTTTACTTTTCAATATAATTTCTTTCTTTGTCAATGCATTTAATTTAGTTGTTGATATGTATTTCATCATAGGTTGAATATCATACCTTGATAATTTTAGATCAGAAGTGAATAAATAACTACATGTCAGACTGTGGACTGATTGATACATCGTTTTGTGTGTGTGTGTGTGTGTGTGTGTGTGTGTGTGTCTCAGCATGACCCACTTTATTAAAAATCAATTTTTTTTTTATTTTTTTGACAGGGAAGGGCTTCTTGCTCAGGCTGATGACTTTTCAGCACCCTTTTGTATAATGATTAATTTTGAATCTGTTTAGAGGTAAAAACTCTAGAGCAAAATAAGTTCCCATTTAAATTTTATGTACCTATTTCGCTAAATAGTTTATCTGATACTGAAATATTATAGAATACTAAATTTGGAAATTATGATATCCTGAACCACACGAATAGGCCAATTGTCACCGCCAAGGTTTCTCATGGCCTACCAGATCACCTTTCTTGGAATATGATCAAATGCCTTCTCCAGATCTGCAAAGGCAAAGAAGAGAGGTTTCACAGCAGTGATGAATTTCTCCTGCAGCTGATGCACAATTGTGTCAGTGGTACCTCTCCCTGGCATGAAACCATACTGCATTTTATTGATATTGACCATTGGTCTGATGTAGCAGTCAAGCACATATTCCAGCAGTTTCATCACTTGATCAGTGAGCTTGAGGCCTCTGTAGCTGCTTCTGTACAAGGTGTCACACTTGCCCTTGTAGAGCTTGAGAATGAAGCTCTCCTCTCACTCACTTGGGATCACATCACTACTGAAAACTGAAACCTAAACTTTTCACTGCCTTTATCACCAGATGCTTTCAACAATACCATATAGGCCAGCTGCCGTTCAACACTTCAACTTCTTGACCGCCCTGCCAGTCAGTGCTGATGTTACAATGGAGGAGGATCTGCAATCGGTGAAACCTCAGGGAGCATATCATTAGGCCAGTTGAACTCAACATTTATTTTTCAACCTAAGCTTTCATCTTTTGGTTATCACTGAGTGATAGTTCTCCAGCATCGTTCTGAATGTACTTCTCACCAATGACATCCTGGTTGGTTCTGTCTATTTGCTTTGCAAGACAAAGGTGATATATCAGGGAAAGTCTTCTTCTCAGCCTCTGACTTGGCAAGCCACCCAACTTATCTCGCAAAGCATTGTAGGCTGTTTGGAACTTGCTAAACCTCCAATTTTAAATGTATGATTTGAACTTATTTACTGAATTTTGGTATGGAAACTTTAAAGTCACAAACTAGCAAGTGATATTGCAATGCACACTCCTCACCAGCTATAACTTTGACATCCAAGAGCGATTTGCTGAAGCTTTTGCGATATAGGATATAGTCAATCTGTGATTTATGACCACCAGAATTGAAGGTAACCAGGTGTGACTCTCTTTTCATGAACCTGAGTGTTACCACTGATCAGATCATTTGCCATGGCAAATTCCAGTACTCTCTTGCCTTCAGTGTTTCATACTCTGTAACCATGACCACCATGAACCTCCTTAAAGCCACTTGCACAGGCTCCCAAATTCTTACTCGATCCCCAATTGGTATGAGAATCTCCAATGAGAGAACTCCAACAATCAAGCTCTGCAACTGGTCATAGATGCGCTCTTTTCTGTGTCGTGATGACTGACTTGAGGCACGTAGAGAGAGAAATGTGAAAACAGCCATACCCACAACCAGCCTCAATAGTAGGATTCCATCAGAGATCTGTTGGACATCAAAAGTGGAAAAAAAAAACTTAGTCTTTGAAAAAAAGAATGGAATCAATCATCAAACTTATACTTTGAGAAACTTTTTGCAACAAATGCCAAAAATTTGTGCTGCAGTAATCAAGGCTAAGGATGGATATTTTGATAAGAGCAAAATTTAATCATAAAATGTTTTTTCTTTTTGTCATAAACTTTCTAATAAAAAATCACGTCTTTTTTTTTTTTTTTTTTTAAAACCTATGTATAATAATTTTCTCTTATTTAAAGTACAAAACAACTATTTTTGTGGCCAATTTAAAAAAAATTACCAGGGATTGCCTTTTGAAATGTTATATATATATATATATATATATAATATATATATTATAAATTAATTGATTTAAAATATGGTTATTTTACTACACAGTTCCAACCATGTTTCAAAATAGAAGCTAAAACCCCTAATTTTATTTTTGCAAATAAATTAAAAGCATTAGTTCTATTTCATCTTCAAGCGAATTTTGGAGTAACTTTTAAAATTTACCGGGTTTTAAATACACAGCTAAAATCACGTTTCCATGGTTACAGAATATTCTACTCAAATTGAACACGGGTGTCTAGATTTTCCTTATGACAGTATCATTGTATCAGTTATTAGCTACATTTTGGTAAGGGGTGAGGATGTATTTTACACTGAAACCTTACGTCGTTTGAATGGATGTCGTCTGAATTTTAAAAAAAAAAAAAAAAAAATTGTTAACGGTAAAAAATTTTCAACGTCATCTTTTAAAATTAAAGATTTTTTTTACAATACTTTTTATTTAACTACGATTTGAAATATTTTCCTTTTTAATTTTTATTTTACTATATTCTTTTTAAGAACTGTTAAATGTATTAGAATCCATTATATTATGTAGGATTATTTTAACATTAAGTTTAAGTATGTATATGAGGTTACATTTTTTTTTTTTTTTTTTTTTTTTTTTTGTATATGACTATGACACCGGATTTTATATCTTACTGTTCTTTCTTTTTATTTATATACATATAATATATATATATATAAAATGTGTGTGGGTGTATGTGAATAAATATATGTTGATCATATTGTGCTTGTCCCACCCTTAGTTCACATGGCCATTATGCCCTGACACCCAATACCCCATAAGTAATAGATTATTCTGTTTTGATTGCCTTGAAAGAGGGAAAAGGACACTTCAGTGTGAAAATGAAGGGAAGACAGAAGTGGAGAGAGAATCAGATTAAGCTGATAAGAACAGATTCTACACTTTGATCTTAGACAAAAACTGAAAAGTGATGGTATTTTCTTGTGACACAAGGTCAGTTTAATATGGAGAACCCAACTGTATGCACCTGGGCCAGGTTTAAAAATAGCCCAGCCCTTGCAAATGTTGGTTGTGCTGGCATTGTTATTACTACAGACCTCTCCTCTTTAGTGTAATGTGGGCGGTACTGCCTCAGGCAGCCATTTTCCTGTGACCATACACCTCTCAATATTTTCACAGACAGGGACACAACTGAGAGATGAAATGTAGTTTATCCACCTGGAGACAGATACTACACTTTGATCTCAGCCAAAAGGCAAGGTGTGATGGCGCTTACAATAAAATGCCATTTTTCAGATGCACAGTTACCATAAATAACATCATCTGCTGAATTATTTTAAAATTATTATTCAGATAAATATTCATATGGAGATTTTGATTGTTGGGGGGGGGAAGAGGGGAAAAGACTACTTGGTTTCAGTGAGAAAATGAATGAATGAAAAGATAGAAGTGTTTAAAGACAGTTTCAGTTAAATGGAAAAAGTTGTCAGTTTCAAATTTTTTCACTTGTACCCACTTAAAATAATGACCAGCAGTCATGTATGATTTTTATTGCAATATTTTGTTAAAGTTAAGCTCAAATATTTGATGATGCAATAGGGGAATTTCTATGGATATTTTATTGTTGTAAAACTCACCATGAACTTATTAAATCATTGACTTAAGATTTAAGATTTTTCAGAATGTTAAAATAGGAAAACAATGAAATTTTCATGAGTTATTTCTAGTTCAATGTTAATACTCTATTATTTTTAATATTGAGTACTTTATTTTCTTTTTTTTTTTTTTTGTATTTTAAAAAGATCTGCTCTCCTTAAATGCATTAACCCCCAGTAGTTTACTGGTTAATGGGTTTTCTTAGGCATAAACTTTATTAGTACTTTGTGTGTGTGTACTACACACACCAGTTATGGTAATTAATAAAAATAAAAATATGTCAAAATTTTAAGAAACTTTAACATATAAAACCTGAAAAGAAATAGAATTTGAAATTGACATTAAAACTAGCCTAAAAGAGGTAGATTTCTTCAATGTAATGTTCAATCTAAAAAAAAAAAAAATGTATGTATGACAACCCATTTTACA